CTTTCAACACTCCCCCTCAAATCAATGTATAGATGTTGATCATACCAAGTTTCTCTACAAAGTCTTCAAAGTTGACTCAAGCAAGAGCTTTTTTTAAGAATATCTGCAATTTGACCAGTTGTCGGAGTGTAGCTAACCTTAAAAATTCCTTCTTCAATCTTTTCTTTGATAAAATATTGGTTTATCTCCACATGCTTAGTTCAATCGTGATGAACCAGATTCTTGGCTATACTGATGGTGGTTTGATTGTCATAGTATAATTCCATAGGATGCTCCAAGGTGACCTTTAATTCTAACAATAATCTTTTAACCAAATTCTTTCACAAGTTCCCTATGCCATAGCTCGAAATTTTGCTTCTATGCTACTACGGGCTACAACTGATTACTTCTTGCTTCTCCAATTTACCAAGTTTCCCCACACATAAGAACAATATCTAGAAGTTGATCGTCAATCTGTAATGGATCTTGCCTAATCTACATCTGAATAAACTTCGATATTTCTCTTAGAAGTTCTTGAAAAGAATAGACCCTTACCTAGAGTGATCTTGAGATATTTCAAAATTATGTATACAGTAGTCATATGTCTCTCAATCGGGCAATTCATAAACTAGCTTACTACACCGACGAAGAAACCAATGTCAAGTCTAGTATGGGAAAGAAAGATGAGTTTCCCTACAAGGCGTTAATACCGTTCCTTGTCGATAGGAACACTCACATCATTAACTTCAAGCTTGATTGTTGGATCCATGGGGGTCTCGGTAGGTTTACAACTAAGCATTCCCGTTTCACTTAACAAATCTAGAACATACTTACGTTGGGAAACAGAGATGCCTTTCTTTGACCAACCAATTTCCATCCTGAGGAAGTACTTGAGGTCCCCTAGGTCCTTGATCTCAAATTCTTTACCCAAGAATTGTTTGAGAAGTCTAATTTCTTCCTCATGGTCAACTGTCCAAATGATGTCGTCCACATAAACAATAATAATGGCCATCTTCCCTTTAAGAAGTGCTTCACAAATAGAGTATGGTTAGATTGACACTGGGAATATCCATACCCTTTTACTACTTTAGTAAATCTCTAAAACTGTGCCCGCAGAGATTGCTTAAGTCCATACAATGATTTTCGAAGTCTACAAACCTTGTTGGAGTTAGATGATGTCTCAAGCCCTTTAGGAATATCCATATATACTTCTTCCTCTAGATCACCATTGAGAAAGGTGTTCTTCACATCCAATTGGTGCAAATACCAATTAAGGTTAGCTGCTAAGGATAAAAATACACAAACAGTGTTGAGCTTGGCAATTGAAGCAAAATTTTCCTGATAGTCAATGCCATAGGATTGGGTGAATCCTTTGGTGACCAAACGAGTTTTATACATGTCCACACTATCATCCGTCGTATATTTCATTGTGAAGATACACTTACACCCAACAGTTTTCTTACCTCCCGAAAGATCAGTAATTTCCCAAGTTCCATTCTTTCTTAGTGCCTAAATCTCTTCATTAACGGCAACCTTCCACTTAGGACACTTGAAAGCTTCCTGAATATTGTGAGGAACTTGTATCTCTATAAGACTAATAGTGAAGGCATGAAAAGAAGGCGACGAGCCATCATATGACATAAAGTTTCCAATGTAATGTTGAGTGCATAATCGAACCCTTTTTCTCCAAGCTATGGGCATATTTAGGATCTCATTATCTAACTCAGAATCAACATAACCATCTAAGTCAGAACTATTACCTTAAATTTTGGGAGGATTAGGACTTGGTTCAGCTTCATGGTTTTCTTGAGGAAGTGCTCTTTCCTCTATTTCCTCTTGGATGTGCTCCGTATCCCGCAAGTCAACAATGAACTTGGTGCTTTCGGTAGGTAGAGGCTAACTAAGTGACTCTACAGGGATGTGATATTCTGGCACTGAGAGATTGTGATTTTTTGTGGTGATAGGTGACACTAGGAATGACTCAAAGTCCCAAAATTGATATTCCTAAGTTGAATTCTCCCCGTAAATATCAGTTTTGGGGTAGTGTCCTGATTCTAAAGAAAAGGTGACGTCCATTGAATTGTAGAATTTTCTTGTGACAATAGAGTAACACTCATATCCTTTTTGATTTGTTGAATACCCAAGAAAGATGCACTTAAGTGACCTAGGATCAAGTTTACTTCTATGTTGTTGATGGACATGGACAAAGACAAAAACAAAGCACCCAAAAAATTTATGTGGAACAATGGAAATGAGACGAGTAGTTGGAAAAGATTTTAGAAGAGTTTGATACGGTGTTTGAAATTTTAGCACCCTAGACAACATCCTATTGATAAGATATGATGTTGTAGGAATGACTTCCCCCCAGAAGAATTTAGGTACATTTGCAGGGAACATTAGCGACCTAGCTACCTCTAACAAATGTCTATTTTTGCTTTCAGCAACTTTGTTTTGTTGCGGGTGTCTACACAGGAACTTAAGTGAACTATCCATTCTTTTTATAGGAAGTCTCCTAGTACTGCATTGAAGTTATCCTTAGCATTGTCAGACTTTAGGATTTTAAAAGATTTGACCTGTTTCTGATTTGTCTTTCTTAAGAAACACCCAAGTTAATCTTTTATGATCATCTATGAATGAGGCAAACCACGTAGCGCCCGTTACATTTTTTATTTTTGACAGACCCCAGATATCGTTGTGAATCATAGAAAATGGTATAGATGCTTTATAGGGTTGAATAGGAAAATGAGATTGGACATGCTTGGATAATTGACAAATTTCACACTCAAGATGTTTTGGATTTTTATTAAATAACAAAGGAAATAAATGTTGAGATATATAAAATTGGATGACCTAAGCGATAGTGCCATAACATAATAGTAGTATCATTATTTTGACGAAATACTGAAAAATAACTAACACTAAATGCCGTTTGAGGTTGTTCTTGTGAATAAGGGCACTCTTTAAAGATGTATAGCCCAGAGCACTCCTTAGCATTGCCAATCGTCTTCCCCAAATCCAAATCTTGGAATTCACAATGAGTGGAGAAAAAATTAGTAACACACCTCCTTTCCTTAGTAAGTTTACTAATTGACAACAAATTGCAGTCCAAGTTAGGAACAAGAACAACAAAATTGAGTGTAATATCCTTTGATAACACAACTGAACTTGTACCAATAACCTTTGATAGTGAACCATCCGATATTCTAACAGTTAAGTTATTTATACATGAGGTAAATGTATAAAAAACCATTGCATCTCCCATTATATAATTAGATGCTCTTGAGTCCATAATCTAGGGTTTGTTTTTGTTTCTTATACACACAAAAAATGCTTATAGAATTACCTTTGTGAGCTAGGGATCCAGACCAATGACATGATTTGAAGACAAACCAGTTTCTGACTGAGTAGAAAGAAGAGGAGACAATAATTTTTGAAGCATCTCCATTTGTTCCTCGTTAAAAGGACTTACTTCAGGAGTGTGGAGGTCAGATTTCCTTGGCCTTTTTTCTCCATCTGTCGTGCTGGCTTCCAATAAAATGGTTTCGCATGTAATTTCCAGCATGTTTCCCTCAAATGTCCTGGTTTTCTACAATGATCACACCAAGGCCTTCCCTCTTTATTTTTTTGGTGGTTATCTGAAGGGGCAAGCTAAGTTCCCCAAGTGAAAAAAGCAGAGTTTTCAACTACATTCAGATGTTGAGGTGACCCCATCATGACCTTCTTCCTACTTTCTTTCCGTTGGACTTCAGAGAAAGCTTTTCTAAGACTAGGTGATGTCTTTACTCCCATGAGTCTCAATTAGAGGTGAAAATCAGCTGAACTTTGTTAAAGCAGCTGGTAAAATGCAGAGGAACGAAAAGTAAACTGATAAAGTGCAGAGAAGAAAAAGGGAAAGTATGAGAGAGAAAGTGTAATCTGTTTTTGCGTTTTTTATTGACTATGAATGATAGCTACAGTTTGGTATTTATACAAGCTGTACTAACTAGCTAATAACCAACTGTTTAATAAACTTAAAACCATATTAACAAACTCTAACACGTGATTAATAGAGTAACATAATTAGTTATCTGTTTTAACAAACTTTCTATCATCCTAACATCCATCCGCAAGTTGAACCTCCAAGCTTCAGCATTTTCTCATCCTAGCATCAACTTCTTCAGCATTTTCAACATCCTAACATCCATTCGTAAGTTGAACCTCCAAGCTTCAGCATTTTCTCATTCTAGCATCAACAACATCATCAACTAGTAGCACTCCAGTTGAACCGCCAAGCTTCAGCATTTTCTCATCCTAAGCTTCAACATTTTCTCATTCTAGCATCAACGCACTTTAGTAACAATCAACCATCATCAACTTAACAAAATCAACCAGCATCAATCAGCATTACTTCGACAAAATTCAACAGCAACATCAATCAGCATCAACCATATCAGCAAAAAAAATCAGCCATCATCAACTTAAAAAAGGCATTACTCCAGCAACATTCAATAGCAGAATCAATCAGCATTAACCATATCAACCAAAAAAAAAAAATCAACCATCATCAACTTAACAAAATCAACCAGCATCAACCAGCATTACTTCAGCAAAATTCAACAGCAACATCAATCAGCATCAACCATATCAGCAAAAAAAATCAGCCATCATCAACTTAAAAAAGGCATTACTCCAGCAACATTCAATAGCAGAATCAATCAGCATTAACCATATCAACCAAAAAAAAAAAATCAACCATCATCAACTTAACAAAATCAACCAGCATCAACCAGCATTACTTCAGCAAAATTCAACAGCAACATCAATCAGCATCAACCATATCAGCAAAAAAAAAATTAATCAGCAAAGTCAACCAGTAACAGAGGAAATTCCTCAGCAGTGAGTAGAACATATCAAGATATTGCTTAGCAGGTAGTAGTAACTTCAGCAAAAGAATGGAACCTAGTGAATTCTTCAAGAATTTCAACAGTTGGAAGGAGTTTGACTTTAGCAGAAGAATAGAACATATGAATTCATCAAGAAATTCAGCAGCTGGAAGGAGTTTGAACTATGAGTTTGTTCCTTAAAAATTCAAATCTGGAAGCTGGAAGAGCTTTAGTAAAAATATCAGCTTTTTCAAATTTAGTGGCAATATATTGAACTTTGAGCTTGTGGGCAGTGACTTGTTCTCTCACATAATGAGCATCAAGCTCAATGTGTTTAGTCTTGCTATGGAAGACAAGATTAGATGCTAATGAACCAGCACTCTGGTTGTCACACCAGATGACTGGAAGTTCTAACAGAGGAAGGCCAATCTTAGAAAAAAGGCTAGAAAACCAAGTCAATTCTGTAGCACCTTGAGCTAGAGTTCTGTACTCTGCTTCAATGGATGATAGGGCTACTACCTTCTGTTTTCTAGAGGTCCATTGAAGTAGATTTGAGCCAAGAAAGACATAACAGCCACTAGTGGACCTACGGTCTTCAAGGCTGCTTGCCCAGTCAGAATTTGTGTAACACTCCAGGTTTAATCCATGACTTTTAGTGAATTGTAAGCCAAAGTGAGTTGTGCCTTTAATGTATCGAAGTAACCTTTTGCAAGCCTGCCAATGTAGTTGTGTGGGAGCTTTAAGAAACTGACTTAACTTGTTAACACAATAAGCAATATCAAGTTTAGATAAGGTCAGATATTGGAGAGCTCCTATTGTGCTTCTATAAAGGGCTGGATTTTCATAAGGCTCATTGTCATTCAGAGTTAACTTGGTGTCGAGAGCCATGGGGGTAGTACAAGGCTTGCATTCTCTCATGTTAGTTCTTTCCAAAAATCTTTAGCATACTTTGCTTGATTCATATGAAGACCTAATGCAGTTTTGGAAACTTCAAAACCAAGAAAATACTTTAAAGATCCCAAGACTTTTAAGGCAAATTTAGTGTTTAAGTCTTGAACAGTAGCTTGTACTAAAGTAGGATTATTTCCGATGAGTAACATGTCATCCACATAAACTAGGACATACATGATTTTCTCATCCTTTTTGTAAATAAAAAGACTTGAATCTGCCACAGAATGTGTAAAACCCCACTACAAAAAGGCCTATTTTAGCTTCTCAAACCAGGCTCTTGGTGCTTGTTTTAAGCCATAAAGAGCCTTAATTAATTTACACACATGATGAGGTTGTGCATGGTTAACAAACCCTTCAAGCTGAGTCATGTATACTGTCTCAGTAAGTTCACCATTTAGGAATGCATTGTTAATGTCAATCTGTTGTATATCCCACCCATTATTCACTGCCAAGCTGAGGATTACACGAATAGTTGGTGACTTTACTACAGGGCTGAAAGTTTCCAAGTAATCTACACCTGAAGTTTGTTGAAATCCTTTAGCCACTAACCTGGCTTTGAACCTCTAAACAGATCCATCAGAGTTATACTTGATTTTAAACACTCATTTACTACCAACTGGATGCATTTCAGAGGTGAGAGGAACCAGCTCCCAAGTGTTATTATTCAACAGGGCATCAAATTTAGTTTGCATGGAAACCTTCCAGGATGGATGAGAGAGAGCTTCTAATACTGTTACTGGCTCTTTGGTGTCAAGGGAAGAAACTAAGATAGTATTATGAGCTCTAGTCTTAGACCTAGTAAGCATAGGATGTGTGTTTAATGGTTGAGGGCAGGGTTTGGCAAGAGGTAAAGAGACATATAATGGAATAGAATCATAAGATTCATTGGAGTCTAAAGTTTGAGGTGATAGTATGGATGTTTGGGACTGATCAGATGTATTAGTTTGTGGTGATAATGTGGCGGTTTGAAGTTGATCTAACAGGTTCGTTTCTAGGACAGGATAAGGAGTATTGTCATGTGTGATAGGATCAAATGTGGGAGACTTATTGAAAGGAGGAGTTGGCTGGAGAACTGGGGTAGAATGTGATGTGTCTTAAGTGTTAGACTGATGTAAAGTGGTAGGATGAGAACCTGACGTATCCAGTATTTTAGACTGATTCATTGTGGTAGGACCATTAGGAGGTATGAAATGTATATGGGAATGCTGAGGTAAATGCCAAACAGAATGATTAAAAGAATGTGAATGAGAGTCACATGAAAATGAATCATTAGAAGACAAAGAAACAGATGTTTGAGCAGATGCAAATGGAAATTCAGTATAATCAAAACTCACACTTTGACAAAAATAAATACGACAAGTGGGATCCAAATACTTATAACCCTTGTGCTGTAAACTATAACCAACAAAAGTACATTTACTAGTATGAAAGTTGAATTTATGACTGCTGTATGGTCTAAGAAATGGGTAAACAACACATCCAAAAACTTTAAAGGCTGAATAGTTTGGTAAAGTGTGAAACAGAATCTGAAATGGAGATAAATGTGACAGGACAGATGTGGGGAGTCTATTGGTGAGATAGGTTGCAGTTTGAAATGCAAACCACCAGTGTTTTAGTGGCATGCAGGCTTGGGCAAGCAAGGTAAGGCCTTGTTCTACTATTTGTCTATGTTTTCTCTCAACTCTACCGTTTTGTTGGTGAGTGAGAGGACAAGGGTGCCTAAAAAGAATCCCATGTTCTTGAAGATAGGGAACTAAGCTTCTATATTCTCCACCCCAATCGGTTTGAACACATTTTATTGAGGTGTTAAATTGTTTTTCAACCAAGACATGAAATTGCTTAAAAACAGTCTGAGTTTCAGATTTAGCTTTTAAAGGGAAAATCCAAGTGAATCTACTATGATCATCCAAAAATTGGATGTAATACTTGAATCCTTCAGGTGATGGGACTGGAGAAGGCCCCCAAAGATCAGAGTATATTAATTCTAGAGGTTTAGATGCATGGAATGAGGACCTAGGAAAAGTTGACTGATGTAACTTCCCATACTTACATGCTTGACAAAATGTAATATCATTTTTAGTGTGATGAGGAATTTTTAGGGCATTGAGAATTTTTGTAAGGACTGCCATGTGTGGATGACCAAGCCTCTTATGCCAAAGCAGAATATTTGTTTTCTGTGCTGGAAAATACTCAAATTTATGCAATTTATTGATAGAATTGGGATCAATTACAGAGTGCATAACATCTGAAACAAAAGAGTCAGAATGTTGTATCGTAGTTTTATTAAAAGGAATATTACATATGGGAGTACAAGCATTAAAGGGAATTGAAATAGGAAGTTGTGAGTGTTTAGCAAATGATGTAGATGCAGGTACTGTTTTATGGAGAGATGAGATAGGACAACTGTTTTTAGACTTGAGGTTTGGGTAAGCTGGAACTTGTAGTCGATATAGACCATCTTTAAGCATTCCTTGAAGAAGAATGGCTTGGGAGATCTTGTCCTTTACCATACATGAATCAGTAAAAAATTCAACTGAAACATCATTTTTTTTAGTTAGTTTAGACATACTAAAAAGATTCTTGGTAATATGTGGAACACACAAAACATTTCTAAGGTGTAAGACTCTATTTAGACAAAATAAAGTAACAAAGCCAGTATGAGTAATAGATAGAAGCTCACCATTTCCAACTTGGAGTTGCTCACTGCCAGCATAGTTGGTGCTACCCATGAGTTGTGAAAAATCTGAGGTAACATGGTCTTTAGCTCCAGAGTCCATGTACCAAGCACTGTCTTGAACCATGGAAGGTGTAGCAATATAGTTGATAGCTGCTGGTGATTGTTTAAACCGCTGAGACTATGCAACTAATGCTTGATTGTGCACATGAGCAGATGCTGATGAGTTGGACTGATTATCAATGTTCCCAGCTGAGGTTCCATGATTTGTAGAAATTGATGAACCTGACTATAAACCTAGTCCATAAGAATGAGTTGTTGTTGCAGAATATTGATTTCCAAAATTGGAGTACTGATTTCCGGAATTAGAATACTGTTGTCCAGGATTAAAAGTGGTTGATCTCAAATATCCAAGAGAAGTAAAGTTGCCTCTAAGCAATGAGCTATTTCCTTTGAAATTCACATCAAACCGGTGATAACAATTTAGGGCCAAGTGTCCTGTTTTACCACATACTTGACAGATGGGTTTCCCTCTGCCACCTCCTCTACCTTTTGCCCTGCCACCAGGAAATCCTCCAGAAAATTGTTGATTTTGGAACTGATTTTGAGGAGTGGAGTATGAGACTTGATTTGGATTAGTGGTAAGGTAAGGCATTTGATTGAAAGTGGAGGGGTTAAATAAAGGGGTAGGATTAAAGGTGGGGATTTGGTGTCTAGGAGATGATGTTATATGGAATTGAGAAATTTCAGTAGGAAACGAAGATTGAATGGTCTGTGATTTTTTTGTATCATTATCAATGGAAAGAGTTGCTACATTGGCTAGACCACCATGAAACTCATTATGAATAGCTGAACTCATTGCAGTATTTGCTATTTCTAGCCTAAGCTCCAGGTTTTGTAGCACAATTTGTGCTTCTTGGACAGAAATTGGGTCAAGTTTTGACTCTAATCTAGTGGTAATGTTTACAACCGCAGCATCATACTCTGAGTCTAGGCCATCTAGGATATAATTGAGGAGTTCTTCATCTGTTATAATAACTCCACTTGCAGTTAAATTTTCGGCAAAACCTTTCATTTTTAGAAAGTAATTGTGCATACTCATATTCTCCTTTTTTGTGTTCTGTAAAAGACTCTTAACATGGAGAGTTTTGGCTCTCGATTCAGTGATAAATTCATTTTCTAAGGTGAGCCAAATATCAACAGCATACAAGCAGTTGGAGATTACAGCAAACATTGACTCTGAGATAGATGATAGCAACCAACTAACCAGTAATTTATCAGTTTTCTTCCAAAGCAAATACTTAGGGTTAAATTTCTTGGTTACCTCTGAATTCAGATTTTCTGACTGTGTTCTTATAAAAGGAGCAGGACAAGCTATCAAACCAATCAAGTGTTCTTCAAGATCGTGAGCTCCAACAGCAAATAACACCTGGGATTTCCAAAAGCGATGATTATCATGAGTCAATTTTGGAGAAATGATTACCAAGGTTGAAGAGGATATTGACGATGAGCTAACGAGACTAATTGTTTCAGATGCAGATTTGAAATTCGTGTTTCTGTCAGTTTTGTTAACAGGAGAAGAAAAAGAAAAGGAATCAGCCATTGTGATGTTAGTCGATGGCTCTGATACCAAATTAGAGGTGAAAATCAGCTGAACTTTGTTAAAGCAGTTGGTAAAATGCAGAGGAACGAAAAGTAAACTGATAAAGTGCAGAGAAGAAAAAGGGAAAGTATGAGAAAGAAAGTGTAATTTGTTTTTGTGTTTTTTATTGACTATGAATGATAGCTACAGTTTTGTATTTATACAAGTTGTACTAACTAGCTAATAACCAACTGTTTAACAAACTTAAAACCATATTAACAAACTCTAACACGTGATTAACAGAGTAATAGAATTAGTTATATGTTTTAATAAACTAACATCGTAACAGTCTCCCATGAACCTCATCAAGATTTTCAAACCTAGCAAAAACTTGTAAACACGTTTTTTCTCTGCAATCTTTTTATACAATGATCCATCAGTAGCACATGACCAGTTATGAACCTTATAATTATCAAGTTGATGCCAGTTGCGCATAAGTATATTAAAATATTGAGTTACCATGAGATCACCTTGTCGTAGACCATGGAGAATCCCTTTAATCTCTACCACCTCTGAATCTTGATGTTGGAGTAAGTTTCCTTAGCAGTATCCTAGATCTCCTTAGCAGTTGCGAACGCCAGAAATTCTCTCTGATGTTCATGTTCATTGAGTTGACGAGCC